ATTGAACCTGGGACCCCTGCATTGGGAGCGTGGAGTCTTAGCCACTGGACCATCAGGGAGGTCCTCATGGCTAATGTTATTAAGCCCTTAAAATAGACACTGTGCTAAGCACTTAACATACATTATCTCATTTAACTATTACAACAACCCTAAGTTATACTATTGGAATTCCCATTTTACAAATGAGGAAGTTAAAGCTTGTAAAAGTTAAAAAATTAGCATAAAGCCACAGGACTAATAGTGTTGGTGCTGTCTGATTTCAAATCATGTTCTTCGACCCTGAACTGCTTTCCTCATCTGTCAAATCAACAGAGCACCTGGCCCACAGTTCTCGGCAAAGCTCAGTTCTCTCCCAGATCTGCTTCTCAGGATGTCATTAAATCTCAATGCAAGTCACACAGAAATTGCTGGGGAGTTTAACCTTCTTGATTCACTCTCATTAAATTACATTCCTGATAACCTGAGAGTTTAAGGAGAAGGTGTATATGTGTATGCTTAGTTATGTCTGACTCTATGTGACACCATGGGCTGTAGCCTGCCAAGCTCCTCTGTCCATGGAATTTTCCAGGCATGAATATTGGATTAGATCACCATTTCCTACTCCAGAGGATCTTTCTGACCCAGGGAATCAAACCTGTGTCTCCTGCATCTCCTGCATTGGCAGGCAGATTCTTTACCACTGCCCTACTTGGGAAGTCCTTTTAAAGAGAAGGGTTATCTATGAGGCAAAACCAAGGTTATCTATTAGGCCATGGGGCCTGGTGATTAAGAGTTGAGATTTTGATGCCTGAATTCCAGTTTTGTCAAATTCTTTCTGTGAAAGCTGGATCAAATAATTTCTCTACGACCCTGTTTCCTCACACATAAAATGAGGCTAATACCATCTGACCTCATGGGCTTACTGTGAACAGCAAATGAAATGATGCATGTAAAGCCCTGGTCACAGTCTGGGACACATAGTAAGGGCCCAGTAAGTGTTGGCTATTATGATGATGATCATCATCATCAGTGTCATCAGTTTCCATGCAGCTATGGCCAGGGACACTTGGCTTTTGCATCCACTTTGATGGGACAGAAAGTGAGCTTTCTACTGAGGCTAGGTCCCAAGTACAGAGTAAGGCCTCTCCTGTCCCTCTGTCACTTTGCAGGCCCAGGGGTAAGTGGTGACCCAGAAGGCAAAGAGGACAGACAAAGGTTCCTACAAGGCCAAGACACAGAGTTGGAGTCCATCAATTGACATTACAAGAGCCCAGTGGTCTTTTTGAAGAAGGGCAAGCAGGACACATACTGGAAAAGGGCTTGGGAACTGCTGAGAGCATAACAAGAACCCGGTCAGTCTTAGTCTGACATGTCCAGGACCTGGGAGGGATGGGGACACTCATTCCATCCCGTATTTACTTACTGGCTGTCCTGATGCACCACCCTGCACGCAGCAATGTCACAATATACCTTACCACTAGGATGCCTCCGCAGGTGTGGTCCAACAATGGGATGGGAAACAAGAATATGCAAGAGAAACCCAGGACATCTTTGCTTTTGGAAAGGATTCACTAGAATGCAATTTATGAGCACATACCAGTTACTTTGCAGTATTACTTTACCTAACTAAAAGGCCATTTAACTGCGGCCCTTGTTTGCTGGCAGCTAACAAAAAACTAGGACAAAAGACCAAAGACCTGTGGTACCCACTCTGAGAGTGAAAGGAATGATTACCAAGTCTAAGCACTAAAGGCTATGCATTCTAGTTGCAGGAGTGTCCCTAAAGCCCTCTCTCAGTAAACTAAGCCCTCTTAGTTTTACTTTGTTGTTATTGCTGTCCAGTCGCTAAGTCATGTCCAACTCTTTGAGACCCCAAGGGACTGTAGCACACCAGGCTCCTCTGTCCTCCACTCTCTCAGGGAGTTTGCTCAAACTCATGTCTATTGAATCAGTGATGCCACCCAACCACCTCATCCTCTGTCACCCCCTTCTCCTCCTGCCTTCAATCTTTCCCAGCATCAGGATCTTTTCCAAAGAGTTGGCTCTTCACATCAGGTGGCTAAAGTATTGGAGCTTCAGCAACAGTTGTTCCAATGAATATTCAGGATTGATTTCCTTGGACTGACTGGTTTGATCTTATTGCAGTCCAAGGGACTCTCGAGCGTCTTCCCCAGCACCACAGTTCAAAAGGATCAATTCTTCAGCACTCAGCCTTCTTTATGCACCGACTCTCACATTTACTTTAGATGGTTGAAAAGCAATGAAAAGAGCTAAGAGGCTAGCAGCTGGGAGCCTGGAGAAAAGGTGCAAACAGCTCTCCACATCTTCACAGACCAGAGGGCGCCATTGCGCTGATAACAGATCTGGACACAGGTGGTTTTGTTCTCTGGGGACTGAATGGAATGTTAGCTACAGCCGGATGACTAGCTTTGACCAATGAACTGTAAATGGAAATGATGATGGTCACCTCTGGGCAGCAGCTTTAAGGACTTAGCAGTGCTTCTCCACTCTCTCTTCCTGCTCCACCACAGCCAATGGGAACACCTTCAGAGAGTGGCAGCTCCGCTGGCCTGGGTCTCCAGGTAAGGATAAAAATGACACCGAGGAGAGCCTTGAGCCAACACACAGAGGACAAATAGCGTGGGCAAGAAGTAAACGTTTATCCCTTTGGGGTCTGTTTGTTCCCACCGTACCATCTAGTCTATCCCAATGGAAACATCCTAAGAAGAGGTCAGATCACAGTAAGAAGTATGTGCGTTATCTTTTTGGCAAATTACTGTTCAAATTACTGTTCAAAATAGTCAATACGACATTTTGTGACTTAAAAGATCATTTTCAGTGGGGAAGATTCCTCTACTCCAGTGACACTGGATCAATGAGTCATTGCCAGAACATGAACTGAATGGAGGAGATGGGTCCAGTTTCTAAACAACTTCCTTCTTTAGGAAGTTTCAGGTCTTCATGAGATATACCCATGATTGTTATGGGTCTAAGGCAGATGCTGGGTCTCAGGTGCTCAAGCTGTTAGCACTGACTTCTCAGCATCTGCACAACCATCCCCAGGCATGAGGGATGGCTTCTGCTGGTTCTGTGAGTGCTGATGGGCTCTGGTCCCTGTCTGGGGCTTGGAAGGCAGTTGTATGCGCTCTCACAGAAGGAAATCCATCATGTATGCTTGAGTAAAACAGCAAGCCAAAAAACCTCAGAATGTACGGTGTTGCTAAGCAGACATGGAACATTTACAAAATTGACCTCACACTGGGTCAACAAGCAGGTCTCAGGATATGTGGGTCATTTTCTCTGACCAAAAGCAGTTAAGGTAGAAAACAGCTATAGGGTAACGACAAAAATCTCCCAAGTTTGGAAAGTAGGAAACATACTTTAAATAACACATGAGTTATACATCCTTTCACTTAATCCTAAGTGTGCATAATGCAGATCCTCATTTTAGAAATGCAGGAACTGAGACACTGTAATTTGCTCAAATGTACGCAGTGAGCAGTGGTGGAGCCTGGCTATAGGAAACCAGGTTATAGAACTCTAGAGCCTGGGGCTTTCATGACATCCTCCTCATGCTACGTCTCACTGGAATCCACAGATGCTTCCCAGGTAGGTCCACAGCCTCACTGGATGTGGTGCTTCACCTCTGAGAAAGAACAGCTGTTGACAGATGGGAGACACAGTCCCAGCTTGCCCTGGTGACACTGACCTTGGACCTGTCATATATAGTCGCATTTCCCTCTTTCTCTGGGGTCTCCCACTTGGAAAGAAGTGAGAGGTCTAGAGTAGTGGAGAGGGGTGTCTGAGGTTGATATTCCCAGACAGCTTTGAACTAGATCCCTAGGAAGACTTCCTTTCCTTTTAAAGATCGTTTTCCACACTGGCACCCGCGGTAAGCAATCAAAGAAAGACAGAAGGAAAAGTTACTTCCAGATGGCTCCCCATCTTGCTGTAATGAAGATTAAATATAGAAAATACTCCAACATATCATTAGGCAAACATGAGTATTAATATCATTCACATTATAAATGGGACAAAACGGAAATTCAGTCTATAGCTTGACTTAACTCTGAGACTAGGACCTCAGAGCCAGAAGACAGACAACTAGAGCACCCAGATTCTGAGCAGGTTGGAGGCTCACAATACCTGGTAAGAGGCGAAACCAAAGTGTTTCTAGGCTTCTCTCTAGAGATGGCTTCCTGCAATCGAACTGACCAAACTCTCTCCCTTTTGCGGTGAGGGCCTGTTCAAATGGCTACTTACCACTGTCATACTACTTTCTCCATCAACCTATTTGTGTTGTTTCCTGTCAAGCAGGATTTTTAGCAAGACACCCAGAGCTTATGGGGTACCTCTTGTCCCTCAGCCTCTCTCCCGGTGCTATCATGAAAGGCTATCTGCCCCTTCTCCAGGCTAACAAGTATACCTCCTCCTGACTAAATGCCCAGGACTATGCTTCATGCGATGAGCAGGCTTGAAAATAAACAGAAAAATCTGATGGTGGTCCAGATCCTAGAAAGCTACCTAAAGTGCTCAGAACTCACCGAGCAGCCCTGGGGAGGGGGGGAAGGCAGAGGAGGAGGAGGAGATGGTGCCAAGCTGAGCTAGAGGTCCGGAAGGTGCGAATTTTCCCTCCGTCCTTTGGCTTCATTTCTTCCACTGCAGAAGCCACACTGGTCCAAGGCGAGGGCGTTGGCTGGCTGGGTTAACAGGGCTCATAGTGCTCATCTTAGGGCTGAGGTCTTCCCCAGCCCCATCCCACTGCTTGTTCCCCACACCATCAAGTCTCAGTCCTCAGAATGTCCATTTGCCCATCAGTAAGTGACCCAAGTCCCAGTAGGAGTTTAAGATCAACAAGTCTGAGATTCAAGTACCCCGTTACCAATCAGCGGTCTGATTATATCCTCTCAATCAACACAGAAGGGTCATGGCAATCACTTCCTGACAGGAGGCAAGGGTGTCCCTGGGCAGGCCCCACGCGGAAACTCAGCTCAGTGACTTTCCACAATGACCAGTTAAGCCTACAGGCTGGACAAATGGTGTGGGGCCCCTGGGGTTAGTGATGGTCCAATGCCTTCAATGAGGTTGTTCCATTGGTCATAGTCCTCTTTCAGGTCTGAATGGGGAAAAAAAAAAACACAGAACGGTTAGGTAAACTTGTAAAGGAAGATCAGAGAGTAGCTTCCATGGATTTAGTGGGTCATCCCAGAGACAGGAGCACCTGGGATACTACAAGGACTGGTTATGGTGGCTGCGACTGGTAGGAGCAATAATGAAAACTACTGTTCTTTCAGTGCTTTTATGCATGTGCTTCTTAAACAACTTCCTTAACCTGTAACAACTCAGTAATGACAATAATAACAGAAGGGAGCATTGATTGAAGGGCAATTCATTCCAGGAACTTTGCTAAACATGTATTGTTTCATTTAATTTTCATAATATCACTATGTGTCAAGTGCTGCATGCATGCTAAGTTACTTCAGTTGTGTCCAACTCTTTGCAACCCCATGGACTGTAGCCCACCAGGCTTCTCTGTCCATGGGATTCTCCAGGCAAGAATAATGGAATGGGTTGCCCTGCACTTCTCCAGGAGATCTTCCCAACCCAGGGATGGAACTTGTGTCTCTTAAGTCTCCTGCATTGTAGGCAGGTCCTTTACCACTAGCGCCACCTGGGGAGCCCTGTGTCTTGGCCCAATTTTACAGCTGAGGAAACAGGCTCAGTGAAGATACCAGATTCATCCTATGTCAATACAACAGGTTAAGTGGCAGAGACAGAATTCAAACCCCGGTGAGAAAGGGTGAGAAAGTGGAAACGCCACTTCCAAGTTCATGGATGTTGCTGAGCAAGAAGAGATCCTCCATAAGCCAGCCAGTGAATATGAATCCATGGCTGCCTCAGCGAAGGGCAGAAAGAATGGACAGTAACATCATGAAGCAGCACAAACTAGGTATGATTCCAGAGAAGGCCCTGGGGCCACAGGCAGATGGAGCTAATGACATGGTAAGAACAGTCAGAAAGGGCCCAAGGCTGCAGGCTGAGGGAGCAGGACACAGCTGAGCAGGCAAATGGTGTTTCTGTTCAAAACAGACAAAAACCTGGGACATGGGTAGTAACCACTCTCCTTCATCTTCAGATCCCCAAGGCCCTGCCAAGGACCTGGCAGGGAATAGGTCCTCGACAAACAGTGCGCCATATTCATCACTTAAAAAAGTACAGAGCACGCTGCTGTGTGCCACAGTTTGTTCCTGATGCCAGAAATACAGCCACAGACAAATAGAAACCCTCATCCTCATAGAGTTCACAATCTAGGAGGCAGAGATAACAATAAACAGAACAACCTACACAGGATATGAAAAGGTGAGCAGCGCTGTGGCCAAAAAGCGAGCCAGACAGAGGCAGTGCTGGCGGCCGGGGACCCGCAGTGAGGGGAGGAAGGGACGGCACAATGTTTCTAAAAAGGGCTGTCAACACAGGCCTCCCTGGGAAGGTGAGATGTGAGTGCAAAAGTGAAGGAGGTGAGAGGGAGCCACAAGATTACACAGGAAGAACGTTCGGGGCAGCAGGAACAGCGGGGCAAAGGCCTGAGGCAGGACTGTGCCTGGGACCTGGAGGCCTGTGCGGCGAGAGGGAAGCAGGCCCGGGGAAGAGCCACAGGAGGGACGCCGGGCGTTGACTTTGCCTCAGAGAAACAGGAGCCCCTGTAGGATCCTGAGCAGTGGAGTGACAAGATACGGCTTTCCTTCTACAAGGGGGCTTCCCCGGTGGCTCAGCTGGTAAAGAATCCACCCGCAATGCGGGAGACCTGGGTTCGATCCCTGAGTGGGGAAGATCCCCTGGAGAAGAAAACGGCTACCCATTCCAGTGTTCCGGCCTGGAGAATTTCATGGACTGTATAGTCCATGGAATCACGAAGCATCGGACATGACCGGGCGACTTTCATTTTCTTTCTAAAAGGATCACTCTGAAGGCTTGATAAAGAAAGGAGTGTGGGGACTTCCCTGGTGGTCTAGTGGTTAAGAATCTCCCTTCCAGGCTTTCTTGGTGGCTCAGCGGTAAAGAATCCGCCTGCCAAGGTAGGAGACAAGGGTTTGATCCCTGACCTAGGAAAATCCCACATGCCGTGGAACAACTAAGCCTGTGCACCATAACTACCGAGCCTGTGCTCTAAGAGCCCACGTAAGACAACTACCGAAGCCTGAGAGCCCGAGTCCGTGCTCTGCAACAGGAGACGCCATCACAATAAGAAGCCCACACACTGCAACTAGAGAGTAGCCTGCATGGCAAAGAAGACCCAGCACAGTCAAAAAGAAAGTTTAAACATTTTATTCAATGTGCAGGACTTCCCTGGTGGTACAGTGAACAAGAGTCCACCTGGCAATGCAGGGGCATGGGTTCTATCCCTGGTCCAGGAAGATTCTACACGTCTCAGGACCACTAAGCCCGTGTACCACAGCTACCGAGTCCGTGCTCCAGAGCCTGCAGCTGCCGAGCCTGCATGCCACAACTCCCGAAGCCCATGCACCTAGAGCATGTGCTCTGCAACAAGAGCAGCTACCGCCATGAGAAGGCTGAGTACTACAACCAGAGTAGCCCCTGCTCACTGAAACCAGAGAACGCCGGCACGCAGCAGTGAAGATCAAGGGCAGCCCAGGATAAAATAAGGAATTTTTTTAAGGTGCAACATCTCAAGGCACAAAATACAAAGTATTATTAGGAAAAACAAAAAAAGAACCCACATTCCAATGCAGAGGACATGGGTTCGATTCCTGGTTAGGAACTAGGATCCCACATACCATGGGGCAACTAAGCCAGAGCACCACACCTAGGAAGCCCATGCACTGCAGTGAAGACCCCACATGCCACAAGTAAAACCTGATGCAGCCAAATAAATACATAAAATAGTTTCAAAAAGAAAGAAAGGACTGTGTGGGGACGCAGGGGTGGCAATAGGGAGTGGGCTGCCAATCCCTTTTCCAGTGGATCTTCCCGACCCAGGAATCAAACTGGGGTCTCTTGCATTGCAGGCGGATTCTTTACAAGCTGAGCTAACAGGGAAGCCCTTAAAAAGAAAGGACTGTGTGGGGAGGCAGGGGTGGCAATAGGGGATCAGTTAGGAAACTCTTAAGTGAGAGATGAGTTGGATAGGATGATAGCTGTGGGGGTGGTGACAAATGATGACTTTCTATTTGTGTTCTGAAGGTAGGGCCAATAGGATTTTCTGAGGGACTAGATGGGAGGTGTAAGAGAAGAGACAAGAATGGGACTTTGGCTTGAGTAACTTGAAGGATGGAGTTACTATTAACTGACAAAGGAAAGACTTGCAGTTGAAAGCTGTTTTTGTGTGTGATTCCCCTTAGAAGGCCAAGTAGAGATGTTGAGTTAATAAATCTGATGCTCATGGGAAAGCTCGAACTGGAGACACACTGTAGAGTTTTCAGCATGGAGATGGCATTTAAAGCCAGAAGACCAGAGGGCATCGGGGGATACAGGTACAGAAGAGGTCCAAGCCCTGAGCGCTGGAAACACCAAGGCAGACAGAGGAGTAGCGGACACTGAGAGCGGAGAAAATCTGCAGTGAGGTGTCCTGGAAACAAAGACGGGGCTTCACGGAGGAGGGCCTCACCAGCTCTCCCAGCAGCTACTGGGAATTCCAGTGACATGAAGCATGAGAGGTGACCGCTGGATTTAGTACTGTGAATGTTTCATGGAGGAGTGGGATGCAAAAGCCTGACAGGCGTAAGTTCAAGAGAGAATGGGAAGAGAAGGATCAGAGAAAGTGAAGACACTTGTGTGAGTTCTGCTATCATGAGGGACAGGGAAATAGGGTGGTAACTGGGGGCCAAAGTGTGGGTCAAGACAGATTTTTTAAAAGAGAAATTTCAGCAATGAGATGAGCCCACAGAGAGGGAAAAACTGATGATCTAATGTAAAGAGAAAGAAAATTGTTGACACAGTCCTCTTGAGCAGACCAGAGGGTGAAATCCAGTGCACAAGTGGAAGGGTTGGCCCAGTAAGACAACTGACTAGGAACCTCTAGGAACCAGATAGAAGGCTGAGTCTCTGCAAGAAGGTAGGGAGATGCGGTGTTGGGATTCGAAGACGTACTGATGGCTTCCATTTTCTGAGTGAAGTGGAAGACAGAATTAATCAGCTGAGAGACTGATTAGGGGAAGAAGGTAATAGAGGTTTCAAGAGAAAGAAGGTGTGAAATTGTCTTCCAGGAGCGAGTGAGGGAGGATAAGCAGGTGGAAACAGGAGCTGCATGCAGTTAATATGAAAGACACACCAAATCTTCTTAACAGAAGGCAACACAACCCCTGTGTCAGCAGAATGCTGCTCTCAGAGGTAATTTTTAGGATCAAAGGTAATTTTTTTTAAGTTTTCTATTTTATTTTTTTAATTTTAAGCATAATTGCTTCACAATTTTGTGTTGATTTTTGCTGTCCAACAACGTGAATCAGCTATAAGTATACTTTTACTTCCTCCCTCTTGAGACTCCCTCCCACCCCCCAACCCCTCTGGTTTATCACAGAGCAATGAGCTGAGCTCCCAGGATCAGAGAGATTTTTTTAGGAATGGTGAGAGGTTCAGCTGAGCCACTTACAACCTATTTTAGTTTCTCACATGACACGTACTGTATGGTCACCAAAAGGCTTTTCTCTCTTTGCAAAACTAATTACCCCAAGCTGAGAGTCTTTGCCTTTTTTCACCACCTTATCTCTTATCAAGTGAAAACTGCAAGAGCCTCCTACCTGGGCTCTTTCCCTCTCAACCCACCCCATCTTGCCCATCCTCCATGACGCAGTCAGACTACAAACACAAGTCTAATGATGACAATCCCCTGCTTATCCATGAAGGGCACTCACAGCCCATGGAATAAAATTCAAACATATTTCAGGCATACATGGTTTCTAGATCTGGCTTCTGCCCACTTCTCTACCTTTATTTTCCAACAATTCCACTATCCTGAATGCCAGATACACTAAACATAGCTTCGCAAAACTGACCAGGGCCACACCAGCCCTTGTGCCTTCTGTCTAGAAGACTCTTGCCTGCTGAGCCTTACTCATCTGTGACATTGAAGTCAAGTATCATTTTGTCCAGAGAGGCTCCTCTCCTGGCTGTCCTTTCCCTCCCGTCAGAGTTAGGATCTGTCTTCTGGGTCTCCTGTAGACTGAGAGTATCCCTGGGAGCCACTGGCAAAACAGTGCAGCCATGAAGCACATGGGCTTTCCAATCAGAGAGCCTAGCAGGCATTCTAGCTTTGTTGTTGTTTAGTCACTAAGTCATGTCCAACTCTTTTGTGACCCCATGGCCCAGCCTCCTCTGTCCATGGGATTTTCCAGGCAAGAATATTGGAGTGGGTTGCCATTTCCTTCTCCAGGGGAATCTTCCTGGCCCAGGGATCAAACCCACACGTCCTGAATTGGTAAGCAGATTCTTTACCACTGAGCCACCTGCAAAGTCCCAATTCTTGCTTTGCCACTTACTAACCAGATAACCTTGACAAATTACTTAAATTCTCTAAGCTTTAGTATCCTCATCTGTAAAACAGAGTTAATAATACAAGTACTCACTGGAAAGGGCTATCTTCAGGATTATACATGCTGAAGTAACTAAAGTAGTTTAGCAGAAGGACTGGCATCAAGCCTGTCCTCAACAATCTTCCTCAGTCTAAGACTCTCCTAATCATCTGCTGGTCTCCAATAATGACTATCTTAGTTCAGAAGACATGGCTACTCAACGGAATCCAATCATGCCATAGAGAGGGCCCCTGTCATCTTTAATTTTTTAAAAAAATTTTTATTGGTCTCATCATGAGTCATGTGGGATCTTAGTTTCCAGACCAGAGATTGAATGCATGCTCCCTACACTGGAAGTATAGCATCTTAAGCTCTGGACCACCAGGGAAATCCCTCCCCTGTCATCTTTAGCTCTTCCCTAATGATACGGTTTTCAGTCTGTCTGCCCTCTGATGGAGAAGGATCATTTCCAGTGGTCATGTATGGATGTAAGAGTTGGACTGTAAAGAAAGCTGAGTGCCGAAGAACTGATGCTTTTGAACTGTGGTGTTGGAGAAGACTCTTGAGAGTCCCTTGGACAGCAAGGAGATCCAACCAATCCATTCTAAAGGAGATCAGTCCTGGGTATTCATTGGCAGGACTGATGTTGAAGCTGAAACTCCAATACTTTGGCCATCTGATGAGAAGAACTGACTCATTTGAAAAGACCCTGATGCTAGGAGGGATTGGGGGCAGGAGGAGAAGGGGACGACAGAGGATGAGATGGTTGGATGTAATCACTGACTCAATGGGTATGAGTTTGAGTAAACTCTGGGAGTTGGTGATGGACAGGGAGGCCTGGCGTGCTGCAGTTCATGGGGTTGCAGAATAGGACATGACTGAGCGACTGGACTGAACTGAACTGAATGATACAGTGCCTAAGAGGAAACAGAGAAAGTGAGTAGCAGACCATGTAGTCAGGGCCCATTAAAGTCTTGAGACAGATCCATTCTTCTCTTACCAGGGGATAAGAATGATGCTCTAAGGTCTCTACTAACCCTAAAGGCTCTAAACTCATCCTAGTATAATGGCTCACGATGAGCAAGATGAAACGAACAGCCATAAATACTGAAATGCAAATTTAGATTTAAAAAGTCCACACATTCAAAACAGGACAGATTCAGAGACTTCCCTGGTGGTCCAATGACTCAGGCTCCACACTGCCAATGCAGGGGGCCTGGGTTCAATCCTTGGTCAGGGAACTAGATACCACATGCCCCAACTAAGAGTTTGCGTGCCGCAGCTAAGGTTCAACGCAGCCAAATAAAGAAATAACAAAATAAGATAGATGCATTTTTAAAGGAAACTCAATCCAAATTAAATTTTTTCAGCATTTAGTGGAAAGGTTAATACACTCAGGCCATCCAGCTGGAAGTCTAATGTCCAGAACACGAGGCAACAGTCCCACTGAACCAGGCACTGGCCAGACCATATGTGGCATATTGTATTCAAGTCAGGGCAGCATACATTCAAAGGCACACCAATGAACAGCCCATTCAAAGGGGGAAATTGCACAGGGAACAGGTGGAGGTACCAGGAACATTTAGCGTAATGAACAGAAAACTCAGAGGGACACCAGAGGTGACTTCAAATATCTAAAGAGCTGCCATGTGCAATGGTCTGAGGCTTCTCAGGGTGGTTCTTGAGGGAGATACCCAGGGTAGGTGGGGTGGATTTACAAAGAATCAGGTCTTGGTCTTAGGTTAGAGTCAGGTCAAGCCTTAGAATCCCAGACCAGCGTGGCTCCCTTCTGAGGATGCTGCCCTCTGCATAGCACGTGCTGAGGGGTCAGCCTGGCACAGTAGGGTAGCCTCCTCCATTCTGACTGGATCAAAAAGAGACATCTGATCGAGAGAGCTCCAGGCCCAGGCTGAGCAGTGGCCCACAATATGTTTTGGCAGGTAAAGATGGGCTGGTACCACCAAGCTATCTCTCTTGGGAATCTAGTCTAAGAAATTCCCCAAAATGCAGCAGTTAACAGTAGGAGCTGAAGATGAAAGGATGCAACGAGGGAGGGAACAAGATGCAAGTGGTTCAAGTCAACCAAACTGATGAGGAAGTAGAAGCTACGAATAAGCAGATGTTCTCAGCAAGAGAAAAAGCACGGCAGAGAAAGTACAGAGGAAACTGGAGCAAAGAGAAACCGAAATATCATGAGAGGAAGAGAGAGACAGACTGAGCCCAAGAGAGACAGAGAGAGAAGTCAGTCCTACAAACTTCCTCTGTTCCTGTAAATTTTCCCTTCCCACCTGGCCAGGTGTACTCTTAGAAACAAACTCCCCTTTTTCCTCGAGGTAAATTAGTGAATCTCTAGTCCTTTTAACCAAAAAGCACCTAACTAGAATATCAGATCTTCAAAATATTAAAAGTTTCCAGGGACAGAGCGGGCTGACCCTTGAAGCAGTGTACTCCCCACGCTGCATGACCACATGGCAGAGAAGATATGACAGGACGTGTCCCTAGGGTTGGAGGACGGACCAAAGACCCCTACAGGCCTGGCCATTTGCTGGCCTATGATTTATGACATTAGTCATCATCCTAACCCACAAATGTAGCCCATCTATCATCATAGCCTCCTCCACAACACAGATAAGGTGAGTGATAATGAGTTAGAACAGAGAGGGTAGAGTACAGCAAGGTGAATGTTCCATTGACAGTGAGGAAACCAAGGCTCAGAGAAGTTAAATGACTAGGCTAAGGTTACTCAGGTGGTTAAGAGACATAATCGGGATTTCCAAAATTTCAGCTAAGTGTTCTTTCTAGAATCCTATGCCATTCCTTCACTCAGGTTTTGCCATAAATCTCCCTGATCCAAGACATGTTAGAATAGACCACCGTGCAGGGAAATCTAAGAGACCCCTCCCCGCCAGCTTCCCCATAAGCTCCAGTTCTTGCTTACCAAGATGCTTCTGCAGGAAGGCCAACATGGCCCGCACCACGGTCTCCTGACCTTCATAGGGGTCCAAGCTTCCACGGGTCTGACTGGAGAAGAATTTACTAAGCCAGTTACCAGCCACAAAAACAAAGTCGGTTAGACTCCGATGAACAGAACCACTAGAGGAAAAGAAAAACAAGCATTTGGTAGGGGTCTAGAAGCCAAGGCACACAAATATTTAAGCACCCACATATTTAAGCACCCACAATGTGCAAGGTGCTTTACATGCATTATCTCACTTAATTTTCACAACAATCTAGTAAGGGAAGTATTTTCCTCTTTGAAAGAACCAAAGGAGAAAAACGATCTACCCAAGTTCACACAGTAAGAGACAGAGCTGAGGTTTGAAAGCAGGTGAGCCTGGCTTCAAAGCTGCCTCAACTCTGAGACCACAAGGCCTGACCGTGCAGGGAAAAGGCAGAGTCAGCTGGAGAGGGGTCAGGGCAAGGAGGTAAGGTCTGGAGCCCCTGCCACTCCCATGTAATTATGAACTATCACCCCATGGCTTTTACCCCATGACTTCTGAACATTGACAAAGCATATCAGCTCCTTCTTTAGCTCAGAACTGCACCACAAAGTAAACCAGAAAAAAAAAAAAACTTGCCTTTAAATAATCAGGAAAGTTAGGGCAAGTGCTTATAAAAGAGGGTTTCTGGATTACAATTTGTCATTTGACATCCAATGCACTTAATTTGAAGGTGAAATTCTCACTAGGTTCATTTCGAGCTAAATTACTCAGAAATAATTTACTAGTCAATTCAATGAGGGAAGGAAGATCTAAATGCCAAACTCTGTTTGATATGGTGAAGAAAAGCTGACTTTAAAATGTATTATTTAAGGCACACAGAAAAGTATAAAGAAAAGCATAATGGATACTTTGAGTAGCCAGCACTCAGTTTAAGAAATAATACGTTGTCAAGAGTTAAATCCATAGTCCCTGCATACATTTTTCCAACTGCTCTCACCCGCCCTTCCCTCTAGAGGTCACAATTATCCTGAATCTCAGGGACTTGGGGAAACTCTCCAGCACTTCTCTGCTGCCATGAAATCAAAATGAAAGGGGAGAGGCTGGCCCCACGGAAGACAGCACAGGCCAGCGTGGGCAAGGGAAGAAGCCAGGGCCTACTGAGCAGACCCCTAGCAGTCCGGCTCTCGGATCTGGCATTTCAAACACCTGAATGAGTCCGGAGGTCCATGACACGTAGTTACTTGTTGTTTTGCTGATTTGAGATCCTTGAAGCATGTGTGTTATTTGGCTGACGTACAGGGCAGATCAAGTCAGAAACTTATCAGTGAGACTTTAGCCCTTCAACTGTAGCTGTAAGCCACTTCCTAGGTAAAGTTCATTTCTTAAAGTCACTCAAAATCTTCTCTCTGTGAAAAAGGGTTCCTAAAATCAAACTATCTGACAGTGCTAAGGATGGTCATGAAGAGAATGTGGCTTTTCTAAGGCAAGAAATACATGGTTTAAGAAAGATACCTGAATTTAGGTATTCATGAAGGTCTCTAAAAATCTGTCTTGTGAATGTCATAGGTCTGCTATCTCCACACTCTCCAAAAGACTCAATAAAATTCCCAAAGGAGATAAGAGATTCCTGGAGTCCACCCAGACCCACACCTCTTCCTCTGCAATGCACAATCCCACAATATCCTTTTCCAAAAAGCAAAAGGTAAATCCTGCCATAAAGTCATACCGACTAGTGAAGAAATCACTGCAGGTAGAGCTAAGTGGAGCAGGACAGATATGAAATTTGAAAGGCATTAAGATATTGAGATACAGGAGGTAAACATTCTATCCATGGGTAGAACTTCCAGATAATTTAGAGGGAGCCACACAGCTGAGTAGAAAATGAAGCAGACCCTGGAGATTAGGCATGACCTTGGGGCTTACTCACAGGACAGTTATGATCCTGGATTGGTTGTGCTGGTCACAAATCTTCTTCATCAAGTTGACAGTTTCTGCTGTTTGGAACTTCTCAGCATTGATGAAGAAGATAGGGCCCCGGGCTCTGGGGTAAAAGTCACGTTCCAGAGGAAACATCCAAGCATCCAAAGCCACAGCACACCTGGAACAAGACCAGACATGTGGGATGGCCATGGAGAAACCCAAGCAAGAACAGTTAGGGTAGTGAGGGGAGAGTGGAGTTCTTCCTTTAGTGAGGCAAAGGTTCAGAAAGCCAGGAAGGGGAACCAGGGCCCACATCCTTCGGTTAGGATCTTTTTTAGAGATCACTTTTCAGTTGAGTTCAGTTCAGTCGCTCAGTCGTGTCTGACTTTTTGCAACCCCATGTACTGCAGCACGCCAGGCTTCCCTGTCCATCACCAACTCCCGGAGCTTATTCAAACTCATGTCCATTGAGCTGGTGATGCCATCCAACCATCTCATCCTCTGTCGTCCCCTTCTCCTCCTGCCCCCAATCCCTCCCAGCATCAGGGTCTTTTCAAATGAGTCAGCTCTTCGCATCAGGTGGCCACAGTATTGGAGTTTCAGCTTCAGCATCAGTCCTTCCAATGAATATTCAGGACCGATTTCCTTTAGGATGGACTGGGTGGATCTCCTTGCTGTCCAAGGGAGTCTCAAGATTCTTCTCCAACACCACAGTTCAAAAGCATCAACTCTTCAGTGCTCAGCTTTGTTTATAGGCCACCAAAAATTCTTCTAGATTTTTAAACTCTCTGAAAGCATGGATCTGATCTGCTCCTTCTCGTGGCTCTACTCTCAGGCAGCAGACTTGAGTCACACAGAATGACACTTCATTCATTACTCACTCATTCATTCCACTCATCCGGTACCTACTCGGTGCTTAAGCCTTGTGTTGTGGATCCAGAGACAAATGACACAGTTCTGGGAGCTCCGGGAGCAGTGGAGACAGAACACACAAGGCAGCAGAATATAGCTCAGTGCTCTGATCATACAAGCTGCTAAGTCAGCCCAGAGCATACACGGCAGGTGGTCAGGGAAAGCCTCCCTGGGGCCACAACTCCAAGTCATGGCCACTTTGTCAAGCAGCAATCTCTGTCACCAAGGGCAAAACTAAGGTCCTAAGATTAGCATCCTACCCACCCCCCCCAATGCTCCCCCCAGCTCAATAAAGGATGATCATCTTCCCCTCAAGTGATGGGCGCACAAATGGAAAACCTCAATTCCTCTCTTTCCTTCTTCTCATACATCACTAAGTCTGGAAAATTCTAAAACCGATCCTGACTCCATCACCTCTCTCCATCCCCCCTCCTCCATCCTAACGCAAATCCCTCATCCCTCACCTTGACTCTGAAATCACCTCCCTCTAACCAGACTCCTCGTTTCCAGTCTTGTCCTACAGCCTGCTCTTCACATGTATGCATGCGTGCTAAGTTGCTTCGGTTGTGTTAGACTCTTTGGGACCCCAAGGACTGCAGCCTGCTAGGCTGCTCTGTCCAGGGAAGAATACTGGAGTGGGTTGCCATGCCCTCCTCATGGGATCTTCCCAACCCAGGAATCGAATCTGCATCTCCTGCAACTCCTGCATAACAGGCTCTTTCTTTACCGCTGAACTACTGGAGAAGCCCTCATTCTTCACAGAGTGGTTTTTAAATGTAAATAAGATTTTTCTATACTTAAAATTTTTCAGTAGTTTCCCATCACACTTAGAATAAAATCTAACTTCCTTATCTGGCCAAAAGGCCCTGTGATCTGGCCGGTTTATCTTCCTAATCACATAGTTCCCCATCCTGCCCTGCTCCCCCATACCCCCCACCCCTGCCCCCTCTATGCTCCTCCCACACTAACACAGCAAGCTTCTTTCTACCTCAGGGCCTTTAGCTGCTCCCTGTGCCTAGACTGATCTTCTAGACCATTATGTAGGTTGACTTCTTTTCCTTAGTCTCAGCTTTTGTCACTTTCTCAAGGAAGCCTCCAGATACCCTAGCTTATCAGCCTGTTTCCTTCTCTTCTTTGCACTTGCCTGCAGGGGATCTGATTACTTACTTTGTTTACCTTGCTTTCTTCTTCACCACTGAATCCCCACCTCCCAAAACAGTGCTGGGTACATAATACTTGCATGCATGGTATGTGGAGCTAACTGCAGCATCACTGGGAAACTCACCTAAATTGCGTCTCCTTGGCCAAGGCCAGAATAGCTGTGGCCCCTCCAAACGAATGTCCCATTACAGCCACGCGGCTCACGTCAATGCTGCCCTGAAGGAAGCCAAGTCAGAAAGGTAGGGGTGCTTTTTTAGGGACTCTTCAGGGCAAAAGGAAGAAACAGGGAGACGATGACACAGAAGCACAATACAGAGCCCTCTAAAACCACGTGATTAAGCACCTCTTGCCCACTGGAGAGTAGCCACTGAGGCCACCCCTGGACCGAACAGCCTTCTCTGGGCAGGAATCCTGGAAACCGCATCTTTCACCTTTATTTTTATAATCTTACCATCTGTAATAGCTGGACCAGGTAGATACTCGAATATCTATCAATAAATGAATAAACTGAAATTATGTGACCAATCAGTGAAAGAGCACATTAAGGATGAGAACTCTCAGGAATTCCCTGACAGTCCAGTGCTTAGGACTCAGCACTTTCACTGCAGGGGCCTGGGTTCAACCCCAGGTCAGGGAACTAAGATCTTGGAAGCCACACAGCGCAGCCAAGAAAAAAAGAATAAGAATTCTCTTCATCTAGATCCTTGCCTTGTAACAGGAGGGATGATACAGGCACCAAATCAAGGGCAGAGTGGGGGCGCTCCTGCTGCCCCTCCACTTTGCTCTGAAGCAAGGACTGCTTGTACTGAAACCACCTCAGGTTCTACTTTCTCTGACATATGTCCTGACTTTTATCCAGCAGAGTGAGTCTGCTCACTCTAACAAGCTCTGCACGCCTCTATTTCTGGTTGTCCCCAGAAGCCTTCAGGACATGGTTATATAAACAGCAACTGCAGCTGCCTGCTAAAGGGCTCAGGAAATCTCTCTTGGATTCACTGTCCAGCCTCTGCCCTGAACCTGTGCCCTCCTTTGCTCTCTGCAAAATCTAGCCCAAGATTTTGTATCTAAATTCTCCCCTTCATGGGACTTCCTTGGCAATCCAGCGGTTAAGACTTTGCCTTCCAGTGGTTAAGACTTTGCCTTTCAACGCCAGGGGTGCAGAATCCTGGTGGGGAAGCTAAGATTCCTACATCATGTCAGTTCAGTTCAGTCTCTCAGTTGTCCTACATGCTTTCAGGTCAAAAAACCAAAACATAAAACAGAAACAATGTTGTAACAAATTCAACAGAGACTTGAAAGTGGTCCGCATTTAAAAAAAAAAAATTAAAAAAAAAATTTTTTTCCCCACTTTGCTAAATTCCTCCAGATTGGTCCAGGCCTCTTAGGCTTTTTTAATGGTAATATATTCACATAACTCTAAAATCAGGAGCATACAGAAGTCTTCCCTTTCCACACAGTTGCCCACTCCCTACCCAGACAGGTGAGTTTCTTGTGTCTTTGCAGAGCTTACTTATCCTATACAGGTACACATGAATATATACTTTCTTGCTTTTACATAAGTGATACTGCACCTTACTTTTTAATATAAGAATATTAGTATATCAAGAGTTTCCTTATCCTTTTTTACAGCCACATTTGATTTCACCATGCTACAGACCACTAGTGATCACCAAAACTGTTCTTCTTCCTGGACACATAGCTAGACTCTATTTCCCAGCAGTTAGATGCGGCCTTGTGATCGGATGTGGTAGTGGTTTTGTGATAAAATGTGAAAGTGATTATCTCCATTTCCCAGCCTGGTCTATAAACACTCTTCTGTACCAACCTCTACACCCTTTCCCATTCCTGGCTTAATGCACATGGTAAAGGTGGGTTTCACAAGTGGAAGAGAGTAGAGCAATTAGAGGAAGGTAGCCGGTTCCCTGAGTCAGTCCTTGTACAGAAGCACCCATTTTGGACTTCATGTGGGAGAGAAATAAATCTCTTCTTGTGTAAGCCACTGAGATTTGGGGCTTACATGTTATAGCAATTGCTTCCAAGTGGCTCAGTGGTAAAGAACCCGCCTGCCAATGCAGGAGCCGCAGGAAACTCAGGTTTGATCTCTGGGACAGGAATATCCCCTGGAGGTGGAAATGTCAACCCACTCCAGTATTCTTGCCTGAAAAACATCTCATGGACAGAGGAGCCTGGCAGGATACAGTCCATGGGGTCGCAAAGACTTGGACACAACTGAGCGACTGGGCATGGATGTTACAGCAATTAGTATTATCCAAAATAATACAACCATTGTTCCATAATCTATTAGACCAGTTGTGCTCACTTATGGGTGAACATTTAGGATACTATCAATCTTCTGTTACAACACACAACACTGGGATGAATAACCTTGTACATACATCATGTCGCAAGTGTGCAAGGATATGTAAAATAAATTCACAGTATTGGAAATGGCTGAGTCCAACACAATGTGTATCTGTGCTGTTGACAGCTATTGCCAAACTGCCATGCAAGGGACAAGCTGCACTCGCGCCAGTTACAGAGCAGTGCCTACTTCCCCACAGCTTTGCCAACAGGGTGAGTAATCAATTTTTGGATCTTGCCCAATCTCACAGATGAAAATTTACTTAGCTTTTTTTTTTAAAAAATATTTATTTTATTTACTTGGCTGCACCGGGTCTTAGTTGCAATATGCAAGATGTTCTAGTTGAGGCATGTGACTATCAGTTGCAACACATGGGATGTAGTTTCTGGACCAGGGATCGAACCTGGGCCCCTTGCATTGGGAGCACGGAGTCCCAGCCACTGAATATTAGGGAATCCCCTTCTTAGCTTTTTTTTTTTTATTATTCTCTATTTCTCCAAAAGGCTGCCTCTGGAACTAATCCAGCTACATGTAGCCTGCCATTCCCCAATGCCTGTTTCAGGCCCACAAGACTGAACTGCAGTGCCTGGGGCCTGCTTCTCCAGTGGGAACTGACAACACACGCTGGTAAAGTTCTCTGGATTTCAGGTCCTGCCTTATTTATTGGCTATCCAGGCTGATGCTTCTTCCTGGAAGACTTTACCAGAGCCTTTACAAGATATTGTCTAAAGAGACTCTGGGGCACAGGTTTTAGAGTCAAAAAGCCCCAGTGTAAAGTTCGACTCTGTCACTTACTTAGCTATGTAACCTTGGGCAGATACTTGGCCTATTGGACCCTTGGTTTCTTTCTATGTAAAGAGATAACAATGTGTGTTTGTGAAAAGAGCTCTTATCATAGAAAGTATTCATAAAGGACTCACTGTTATTTTATATATATATATATACACACACACACACACACACATATATATATATACACACATACATACAAACCATTTTATAAATTTACGATTCTCATTCATACAATGGAATGTTACATGGCTATTAAAATATCACACCACAGGAAAATATTAACTGGCATAAGAAGACATTCATACTGTTTTGCTAAATGAAAAAAAGGCCACAAACTAGCTTATATTAAATAATAATATTGTTTTTTTAAAAGCATTTTTAAAAGACCTAGAAGGACCAACATCAAAAAATTCTGTTTCATTTTCTTTCATGCTTATGTGTGCTTTCTTGGCTCTCTAAGTAAAGGCTGAGCTACTTTTCAGATTATGGGGAAAAAGACAGGATGCGGGAGGAAAATATACTTTTATAGGCACCAAATTTTATAGCAGGGATAGCTTCTCTCCTTCTAGGGGTTCTTAGGAGTCCCTTAAGAGAAGGAACAAGCCTGCAGTAGACAGCACAGTGTCTGCAGCTCCACAGGCCTTCCTGTGTGAATGAACCACCTCTCCCTCATCCGTGTGGCCCCAACGGACTGTCAGCCCTGGTGCTCAGTTTCCCCTAATGCAGAACTGGGTGTATAACCTAGGCAGGCCAACCAGAATACCCTATTCCTATGACATAGTGACTGGCTCAGAATGGGCATATGACCCAAGAAGAGCCATGGCCTTTCCAGATCACTGGAAGCTAAAAAGTCTCTTTTCCTTTTAAATCTACAGTTGAGTTGAAATGCAGGCTTGGAATGCCAGCAACCACCTTTCTTGCCTGACGGAGAGAGTCTGGTGAGAATGAAGCCCATATACACAGAATGGAGCTGAGCCAGGAGAAGGGAGACAGTGCCAAGAGCTTTGATGACAATGCTTGAGACCCTGGATCTAGTTACACTGGCCTAAAGCCAAACTGCCTTTGGTCTTCCTACTTATTTGAGCCAATAAATTATCTTTTGGTTGAAGCTAGTGAGTTAGGTTTCTGTTATTTGTAACCAAGAAAGTCTTGATGAATAAAAAATGTTCCAGGTTATACCAAATGCTGCCATACCTTCAAGGTCATCAGATCCAACCCGCCAGGCAAGATGTTGAGCACAGTCTGCCCAGCAGTGACCTCTTGTAGGATCTTCAACACTCTCACACACTCGCTTACCCTCTGATGCACCTGCAACAGAGACAGTTCTGGTGGGAGTGGAATGCTACGCAAGCATCCAGTGGGAATCTCAGTCCCCCTCAGAGCCACGAAGAATGCAGGGATGGTGTGCCCACCCACATCTCAGCAAGCACTGCAGACCCCACATCCTGAGAAAGCCTCAGCTCCCTCACAGCCACTCACGTCAGCCCCACCTTCAGCACAATGGAGTCAACCCAGCTGTTCAGACTCTACCTACCTATCCATGGCAAACAGAGGTGTAATATGGGTATACTGTGTGGCATATGAAAGCATCTCAAAAACAAAAAGACATAAAAGGGTTCCTATTTTCAACCCTGTACTGGATTCTGCTTGCCCATTTACAGCATACGTCTACTGCTTTTGTCTGCTAGTACTCATCCACCCTTACTTCTATTAACCTTGACTTCTGAGGATTGTCCCTCACCAAAAATCTAGCAATGCATTTCTGATGGGAACTTCATATTTTGGTACTTCTCTCCAGCCTAAGAGTCTCTATCCAGGATCTTTTATATTATATCTTGGGGAAGAAATTGGGGACAACCCCCAAACAACCCTATTCTACTGGATGGTGAGGGCGGACATGCAACCTCGTAAGGTAAGCCGGTTAGTAGATGAGACCAACCAGCAAGGGGACAGAAATGACAGTGGTTCCAGTGGTCCTGTCCTTCCTACAGTCTGCTATGTAAACCAACCAATTCTCCTTTTGTGGAACAAGCTTGAGTTGGGTTTCTGTCACTTGCAATTGTTAAGAGTTTTGATTAAGACCTCATTTCTCAGCTGTGACGAGCTCAGGACCACTCTGAGTGAGATTTCAAAAGAAGTTAGTTCAAAGTCTTCTTAGTGAGTGTCTTATATAGAAGACAGGCTTAGTAAACTCTCCCTCCCTATTGGCATAAGCCCACCTGGTAGTTCCGAACATAGAATTCCTTCTCCCCTTCCTCAATTTGACGGTGGGGGATCCATTCCTCCTCCAGGGCCTCATCGTCAGGCTGGTTCTCCTCTGGGGTCTGCTTGCAGAAACAGGTGGCCGCAGCTGACCCATCCCTGCAATACATGTGCCCCCAGGGACTTATCTCTCCCCTTTACCAAATCCTCCTTTTCAGCCAAGCCAGTCTAGCTTATTCTCTGGCTAAATGCGAAAAAGATAGGGGGCATACATAGGAGAGTAGAAAAACATGGGGATTTGGGGGACTGACCTGGGTTTGAACCCCAATTCAGCTGTGTCACTTTCAGCAATGTTAGTCAATATCTTTGAACCCTGGTGTTCTCATGTTTTAAAACGGATATAATCCCTACCTTGCCTAACACTAGGACTGGAAATAATATATCCACAGGAAACTAGCCTATACCCAAGCCCAGGACGGCAGGCACCTGACCCATGATGGTTCATTGTGACTGTCATCCTTACCTGTGCTCTGGTACAGCAACCACAAAGCCACGAGAAGCCAGCTCCATGCAGAAGGCTGAATACAGTGTCCTAGAGATCCAGGAAGGAACCGAGAGAAGTGATCAAAGAATGGCCTGCCCTTAGCCTCCCGTCCAAACACGCTCTGCTAGTAGCCCATCACAAAAGATGGAATGGAGGAAGCTTCATCTGCAGCAGCCCTTCTTCAGGAGCTTTCCCCAGACAACATACCCCAACTCTCACCAAAGCTCCAAGTGTCCTCCTCCAGGGAGCATGTGCAGATTGATCCACCATGTTTTGCAACCCCATACACTGATTCATCTCCCTCATCCCAACCCCAATACAGTTTGGCTACTTCAAATAATTGCTTTTTTATTGTCTATATATTGTGCATGCTGCATGCCAAGTCGCTTCAGTTGCATCTGACTCTTTGCAACCCTATGGACCACACCCTGCCAGGCTCCTCTGTCCACACGGTTCTCCAGGCAAGAATACAAGCCCACCCCAGGCAAGGAGTGGGCTCCCATGCCCTCTGCATATTGTACATCTCCCTCCTTGAGCACAGGGACTCTGGCGACTTTTTCACATGCAAATATGCATCTGTGATTTAGCATGTGGGTTCTTGTGGTCTGTCCTCCAACATTCAAAAACAAATATGTGGCAGACCCTGCTAATTGCCTACTCCAAACACCTATTTTTCCCTTCCTCCTTAATAACAGAATCTAATTTTCAGCTTTTCAACTGTGGTGTTGGAGAAGACTCTTGAGAGTCCCTTCAACTGCAAGGAGATCCAACCGTCCATCCTGAAGTAGATCAGTCCTGGGCGTTCATTGGAAGGACTGATGCTGACGCTGAAACTCCAATACTTTGGCCACCTCATGTGAAGAGCTGACTCATTGGAAAAGACCCTGATGCTGGGAGGGATTGGGGGCAGGAGGAGAAGGGGACGACAGAGGATGAGATGGCTGGATGGCATCACTGACTCGATGGGCATGAGTTTGAGTAAACTCCGGGAGTTGGTGATGGACAGGGAGGCCTGGCATGCTGTGATTCATGGGGTCGCAAACAGTCGGACACGACTGAGCGACTGAACCGAACTGAACTGAAGTTTCAGCTGAAGACACTCTCATGGATCAAAATGACATTTCCCAGCCTCTCTGTAGCCAGGTTTGTCTACATGACTAAGTTCTAGTACAGCAACAGGAATATAATGCTACTCTAAGTGATTTAAAATTTTCTAGTAGATATATTTTAAGTAGTGAAAAGAAACAGAATTTTTTTGATATTTTGATGTTTGTCCTTCCAGTTCTTTTAAAAATGCATTTAAAAAACAATATTATTATTTAATGTAAGCTATTTTGTGGCCTTTTATTCATTTAGCAAAACAGTATGAATGTCTTCTTATGCCAGTTAATATTTTCCTGTGGTGTGATTTTTTTTAAAGCCATGTAACATTCCATTGTATGAGTGAGAATGGTAAATTTATAAAATGGTGTGTGTGTGTGTGTGTGTGTGTGTGTGTGTGTGTGATAACAGTGACTTCTTTATGAGTACTTTCTATGATAAGAGCTCTTTTCACAAACACACATTGTTATCTCTTTACATAGAAAGAAACCAAGGGTCCAATAGGCCAAGTATCTGCCCAAGGTTACATAGCTAAGTAAGTGGTAGAGTCAAACTTTACACTGGGGCTTTTTGACCCCAAAACCTGTGTTCTGTGCCCCAGAGTCTCTTTAGACAATATCTTGTAAAGGCTCTGGTAAAGTCTTCCAGGAAGAAGCATCAGCCTGGATGGTTAATAACCCAATATAGCTAAAACATTATCACTTCAACATATAATCAAGATTTTTAAATTAACATTTTATTGCACTATCTCTTTTTTTTTCATATGAAGTCTTTGAAATCCAGTGTGTGTTTTATGCTTACAGCATATCTCAGTTTGGACCAGTCATACTTCAAATATTCAATAGACACATGTGGCTAGAAGTTACCATAACAGACAGGGCAGCTCTAGTCAATGGTATGTAAGCAGTTGTGTTATATAGAACTTTCAGGAGAGTTCTCCCTTCCTATAGCATGGACTGTGGATGTAATGGCTAGAGCTAAGCAACCTCCCTAGGTCATGATATACTCTTAGAAGCAGAAGCCACACACACAGAGCAAGATTATAAAAGAAGTCTGTTTTTTTACTTTATAGAACTACCATATTAGCTCTGTCTAGTTTTACTTTATCTGAGCAAAAAATAAACTTTATATTATTTAGGTCACTATTGTTTGAAGTTTGTCTATTAAATACAACTTGCCTGTACCCTAACTGATTCAGGAAGGTCAGTTACTTAAATTTCTTTTCACCTTCTCTCAGTTCTCCTGGGGAGGCAATGAACAGGATTTAAGAGCTAGAGATTTCTGATCCCTCCCCAGTTCAGAATGTAACCTTGAGCAAGTCCACCTTTCAGAGTTGGTTTGCTCATCTATAAAATATTCTTCCACCCAGCTACCTCACAAGACTATGTGGGAACCAAAGAAGACAGAGGCACATTACAAATGGTTAGGTAATATTTAAAAATACACACGCCTCCCTGGGATGGAAAGTCACAAGTCTGTGACCCATGAGAAGGATTTCAGATCCTGAATTAACCATAGATACAATGAGAGGAAACCATGACCCTTTACCTCCCTGCCTTTTTTTCTTGGAATTTCACTACGGTTAATGAAGAGTATTTATAATTGATTCACCCAAGTCTATTTAGATGTGAAACCTCAAGACAAAGTCTTAGACCAAAAAGACTACGCTAAAGTCATGCACTCACCTGTTCTCTTCAGAAAATACCTGTGAGCTTAGGAAAGAGTATTTCTTAGCTTCTTTTCTCCACTAGACTACAATCTGAAGGCAGGGGCTCTATCTTATTCACTGCTGAACACCCAGCCACAGCATAGGCCCTCGCACATTGCAGGTACTAAATTTACAGAATAAGAAAGCAACATTGAAAACCATCTTGCTGTCCTTCGAGTCTCATCTCTACATCTGCTCTCCACTTCCTGCCATAGACTATAATTATGTGCATCTAGATGCAGTCTCCTGTGGATTAAATTCCTTGATTTGTTTTATTTCTATATGTCCAACCTTTTTTTCATGCCAAGAAACTGGCACAGAGCATGTGCTCAACAGAAATCTGCTGAATGTATGGAACCTAGCAAAACATAAATATTTATTGGGAAACTACTGTTTTCCAGGTACTGCTCTAGACATCAGGAAAGAGAGAAGACAGACATGGTCTCTGCCTTCATGGAACTTACAATCTAGTAAAAAAGACATATTTTAAAGAATAATCACATAAATAATTAATTCATTACAATTATGTTAAGTACTGAGAAGTACAGATTGTCTTATGAAAGCAAGTCAGGATGGGTGTCCCTAAGAAGGTGACACCCAAACTAAGACCCTGAAGGTAGTTTGGAATTAGCCAGGCAAAAGACCAAAGGTGGGGAGAAGAAGAGAGGAATAGAACAGGAAATATTCCAAGCAAAGGGAACAGCCACAGAGCACAGCACAGATGAAAACCATAAGGCAGACATTTGCAGCATCATGGATGGACTGAGTGAAGTAGTGAAAGGTTGTTGCTGAGCCGTGAAAGATGCCGGGATTCTTGGCTTCTGGAGGAGAAGAATTCAATCCAGGGCCAGTGATGAGGCTTGATCACTCAAAGCTTTTGTGTAGTAAGTTTTATTAAAGTAGAAAAGAGAGAGAGAAAGCTTGTGATGTAGACTTCAGAAGGGGGCAGAAAGAGTGCCTCCTGCCAGTCTTCAGCCAGGTGTTATACAGCTACTAGCAGGCTGCTACTAGAGAAAGAAAATGTCTCAAACTCAGAGAATGGCACCAGGCCCTTCACCTACAACATGCCTTTTGAGATAACATAGGCACAGGTGAGTTGTCGGGGCCACAAAATGATTGACAGGAATCTTGAAGAAAGGCAGGTTTCCAAGCAAATATAGCCCATTAACATAGCTTAAGAGAGCATTTGCATGAGTAAAATAAACTGGTTCTGAATCTTAGGCGGTACCAACTAGAAGACAGAGTCTAGAGTAAATACATGGTTCATTAACATAACTTAAGACAAACATTTCCATAAGAAAAAAGCACTGGATAGTTCAAGGTTTGAGAAAAGTTAAGTTCTGTGAGAGTTGGACTATAAAGAAAGCTGAGCGCTGAAGAACTGATGCTTTTGAACTGTGGTGTTGGAGAAGACTCTTGAGAGTCCCTTGGCAAAGAGATCAAACCAGTCCATCCTAAAGGAGATGAGTCCTAAATATTCAGTGGAAGGACTGATGTTGAAGCTGAAACTCCAATACTTTGGCCACCTGACGTGAAGAACTGACTCATTGGAAAAGACCCTGAGGCTGGGAAAGATTGAGGGCAGGAGGAGAAGGGGATGACAGAGGATGAGATGGGTGGATGGCATCACTGACTCAATGGACATGAGTTTGAGTAAGCTCCAAGAGTTGGCGATGGACAGGGAGACCTGTCATACTGCAGTCCATGGGGTCACAAAGAATTGGACACGACTGAGCAACTGAACTGAACTGAAGTTCTGGTGGAACCAGGTGCCCTCATGGCAACACAGAATTTTAAAAGATACCTCTTTTTAAACTTGTATAGAGAAGGGGAAAAAAATCTAACACTTGTAGTTTGTTCCCTCCTGCTGCTTAAGAGAGAGATAAAAAATGTCTGACACTTGCCACCTATTTCCTCCATGTGGAAACCCCTGGCCTTCCTGCCTGTTACCCTCTCAGTAAGACAAAGAAATACTGTTAATTATATGTGGAATCTTAAAACAAAAAAAAAGATACAAATGAACTTATTTACAAAACAGACTCACAGATTAAAAAACAAAGTTTTGGTTACCAGGGGGAAAGGGATAGTTAGGGAGTTTGGGATTGACATGTACACACTGCTATATCTAAAATGGGTAAGCAACAAGAACCTACTGTATAGCACAGGGAAATCTGCTCAATGTTATATAACAACCTAAGAAAAGAAATTTGAAAAAGAATAGATACATGTATATGTATAACTGAATTGCTTTGCTGTACACCTCAAACTAATGCTACACTGTTCATCAACTGTACTCTAATCTAAAACATAGAATTTTTATAATTAATTAAAAATTTATAATTTATTTTATTAAATATTTTATAATATTTATTTTATTAAATAAAATTTTATAATATAATTAAAAAATAGAGCATGTCTCAAAGACAAAAAAATAAAATAAAAATTCCAGTATCTTCAAACAAAGAAAAAAACTCAAAAACTCTGAGGCAGAAACCAACATAGTACCTTTAGGGCTGTTTGTCTGGAAAGCTGGAGGTGGGCAAGTCGCAAGGAATGAGGCCAGAAACTTTGCCCTGTACCTGCCTTCAGATAAGATCATGACAAGAGCTGAATTAAGTTCAAAGGGCTACTAAATATAAAAAGGAATGCATTTGAGTTGGTTCTAATGAGGTGGACAAACCTAGAGCCTATTATACAAAGTGAAGTAAGTCAGAAAGAGAAAGACAAATATCGTATACTAACATATATATATATATGGAATACACCTAGGTGCAGAAATAAGAATTCATGGGGAGAATTCTGAATGGATACTGACTTGGAAGGGTGGTACTGATGAACCTAGCAATAGGGCAGTGATGGAGATGCAGACATAGAGAACAGACTTTTGGACACAGCTGGGGAGGGAGGTGGATGATTTGAGAAAGTAGCACTGAAACATATACATGACCATAAGCAAAATAGATAGCCATTGGGAATTTGCTGAATGACATAGGAACCCAAAGCGCATGCTCTGCGACAACCTAGAGGGGTGGGATAGGGAGGGAGGTGGGAGGCGGGCTTAAGAGGGAGGGGACATTTGTATACCTATGGCTGATTCATGTTGATGTATGGCAAAAGCCAACAAAATATTGTAAAGCAACTATCCTCCAATTAAAAATAAATAACTTTTTAAATAAATAAGAACTTACTGATGTTCCTCAGAGCAGGAATATGCCAAAGCAAAAAATAATAATAATAAAATAAAATAGAGTGCTCGCTTTGGCAGCACATATACTAAAAATTGGAACGATACAAGAGAAGATTAGCATGGCCCCTGTGCAAGGATGACACGCAAATTCGTGAAGCGTTCCATATTTTTTAAGAGCACCATGGGCAAGACCCAGCATCTGTACTAAGGCACAGCTTAATAAACCATACTAAACCATCAATAAATAAATAAATAAATAAAATAAAATAGAGCTCCCTGGCTACAGTGTAGACAATCGTTCCAGTGGAGGTGGGCTGTGTTAAGGCAAAAATAGATGACGTTGTGTAACACTCTTGGACATAAACTAGACTTAATATGTTGATGAATGAACATACAGTGAGAATATTCACAAGCTTAAACAAGAACCACATGCACAGTAGTTAATACATAACTACATAACACACCAAGGGGCAGAAACAAGAATTCATGGGGAGAATTCTGAATGGATACTGACTTGTAAGGGCTTCCTGTTATCTCAGTTGGTAAAGAATCCGCCTGCAATGCCGCCTGCAATGCAGGAGACCCTGGTTCAATTCCTGAGTCAGAAAGATCCACTGGAGAAGGGATAGGCTACCCACACCAGTATTCTTGGGCTTCCCTTGTAGCTCAGCTGGTAAAAAATTCCCCCAAAATGCGAGAGACCTGGGTTCGAACCCTGGGTTGGGAAGATCCCCTGGAGAAGGGAAAGGCTATCCACTCCAGTATTCTGGCCTGGAGAATTCCACGGACTGTATAATCCATAGGGTCGCAAAAAGTCAGACATGACTGAGTGACTTTCACTTTCACAGTTTCACTGTCTTGTAAAACTTAGGCCAGTGTTCCCTGAAGAATGATGAAGGGGATCTTACAGTTCATCACCCCACAATCCTCCATGCAGAGAGACGGAGAGGAGTACGGGCATAAGTGTGCACCTACTCGGTACCTGTCTGAGTCCTCACTTGGTGCCTCGTCTGAGTCTGTTTGACAGATGAGGAAATCTAGGCTCAGACTCCTACCATGGTCCTGAGTTCACACAGCACAATGGTATGGCTGAGATCAACAGCTGAGGCTGTAAGCTCCACGGGAGCAGGGAGCGAGTCTGTCTTCATCACTGCTGTCCCCAATGCATGTTGAATAATTGACTCTCTGAACATAAAGCTCAAGATCCTTCAAGCACTTCTGGGCTGTTATAAGAAAAGAAGGCTAAAACAAGTATTTATATAAATGCTAGAACATGAGAAGGGAAAAATATGAAGGTTGCTGAAAGGCTCCACCAGGTAAAAGGGGCTTGGGGAAGACCTTCTAAAAAAGGTGGACCCAGTGCTTTGGGATGAAGCAGATGATAGATAAGACAGCAGACAGATGGAAATATGGGTAGCTCTGCCTTTTGAGAACATGCTGAGAGTCAGAAGCTGCAACCAGGAGAAGAATGTGACAAGGTCTGGGGGAGAGCAACTCTTACCTGAAGGCTCCCATGCCATGAGAGAAGATGATCAAGGGGTATCCAGAGTCCTTTGTCTTAAAGGGGCCATTCCAGCTAACAGGCAGGCGACAAGATCCTAGCGGAGACATGGAATGTAGAATCTCTGGCTGCCCCCAAACTGTAATCCCAAAGGCAGCCTGGGCAGAAGCATGGTGGGGACCCAATGGCCCTCCTCTCAAGAGACCCACCTTTCACCCGAGCAGCCCAGGAAAATCAGTTATTTATTCCTTTCCTTCTTCTCTCCTCGGGAGCACGAACACAACAGAAAATGGGAAAACAAATCCAAACGGGAAGTACTGAACAACTTACGGGGTAAATCCCTGAGATGCTAAGGCAGTGGGCAAAGTTCCTAATGGTGAGGTCTTTGGGGAAAGTGGATGACTCAGTGTGATCTGACCCAGAGGAGGAGCTAGAGGGGTAACTGCAGGAGACGGTATGCTCCTTGGTGGTCAAGAGTGTTTCTTTAATCTACATTATAGCTGACACAGAGGGAAATAATGCATTCTGGATAAATGAGTAATAGCTGCCACCTATGGAACACACTCTACATCCCAAGGACAGCACTAGAGTGCATCTTTTATATATGTCCGACATTACAATCCTGCAAAGGTAGATATTCAAACACATTAAGTAACTGGCCCAAGCCCCATGCGAGTAAAGGATAAGGACTGGATTCGAATCCAGGGCAGTCTAACCCTGTAACTAAAGCTCTTATGTTTGTAATTCTCTCCACTCTCCATACCACACTGACTAACGGATGCCCCACTACAAAAGGGCTGGACAACACAAACTATAAGGTACTGTGTCTGCCTGGGGATCTCCAAGGGACATAATCAAGCAGCTGGGAGAGCACCCAGAGGTGAGGCCAGCTCTTACCCACAGCCAGGTTGAACAGCAAACCCCCCCAGCGCTTATTAAATTTCAGGTATTCGGCCAGGCCAGCGCAGTACTCATAGCGGGGAATCCACAGGGGCTGCTCCGAGGTCTCCTCTGCCTCTTGGCAGGGGTAGAACAGCCTAAAGAAGCTGCCCTGTAAGAAAAATAAAGACAGCAGCTGCTCAGAGCAAGAAGCCGAAGCATGGCCACGTTTCCCAACGGACACGATCAGCAAGTGTTTGGGGGCGCCAGTCAGGTACTAAAACAGGGAAACTGAGTAAAAAATTAAAACGAAACTGGGAAACTTTACCTTCAATTCACATACCTGAACTTTGCACTCAGAAAATCCAGAAAGAAGCAATTTTATGTTCAGCATTCATGTAAGGTTATGTTATTTCAAACAGCCAACTGTATTTTGAATTACATCGGAGGGGTACTAAAATATTTCCAGTGCTTGGGCTATCAAAAGATTTCAGTTTGGCCAGAAGCCCAGGCCTGGAGGAGCCCCAGAAGTGAAGGAGTAGCTCTTGTGTTGAATGGGGTGACATTGGTGGCACCCAGGGCAACCCTGGAGCCTGGCCCCTGGGAAGCAGCAGCAGCATATTCATTCTACATGGGAGTAAATGCCTCTCACAAGGGAGAGGGAGAGTTCAAGGGCCAGCCGAGAATGACCTAGGAACTGAAGGAGGGAAAGTCCCGGATTAAAGTAGGAGGGGGGGGAACAGATGAGAGCAGAAGAGAAGAAAAAGGAGACTGTCTTCCTATGTGGGGCCAGGGAGTCAAAGGTCAATGGGTACATAGCCCACTGATCCTCCTCTCATACACTCAGATTAGGGCGAGATCCAAAACCTTTCCAGGATCAGGCACCTGCTCTCATGACATCAGAGAGCTACGTTTGAAGTTAGAGGCCCCAATTCCTCCAAGTTGGGAAAGAGAACCCATCATCTCTTGTCTATGGAGATGTTTTTAATTGAAAAGAGGAGAAAAGTTCAGGGGAAAGAGACCTGGGCGCTCGATGATCAAATCCAGACCAGCTCTAACTCAGGTTTCCCCTAGCTGGAATTACATCATCAGACTTGCTGACAGATGCAGCGGGGACGTGCTGGAGACACTTACCTGGAGGCTCTGACCCTCCATCACATCCCCACAGCCTACAAGGTGGGGTCCCGTGACAGGTGGAAAGCTCACGGACTGGTTGACCCCCATCTCATCACCAGCTGAACTGAACAACGACTTGGGCAGTGGCTGAACTTGACGGCTGGAGGGTGGAACACAGAACAGCCTCTTGCTGGTTTCCTCTCAGCTTCCTGTTGCTTATTTATGTCATCAACCACCCCTCTCTACCCCTCCTATCACTCCTCCTCCCTGCCAGTGACTCAGCCGATCTTTCACATCATCCACCTTGCTACACTGCCCTCACTAAGGTTTGCTCTGCTATGCTTAGTCACTCAGTCGTGTCCGACCCTCTGCAACCCCATGGACTGTAGCCAGGCTCCTCTGTCCATGGGGATTCTCCAGGCAAGAATACTCGAGTGGGATCCTCCTGGGGATCTTCCCAACCCAGGGACCAAACCCAAGTCTAGGGGGCTGCTTTTTCTGTTGCTATTGGTGGAGAGGTGAGGAGAAGATCATGGAAAGGAAGCCTCCATACCCCTCAAAACCCACTAGCAAGTGTTCATTTAGCACTATGTGCCCAGCACAGCAGCAACTGCGGCAGAGAACATAACACAGACCTTGTCCTCAGGAGGCTAAGAATAACAAAAACAAGCACTAACATCTATTATTTACTATGTGTCAGCACTGACCTAAGATTTTTACATACTCTGTGTCATTTCATCCTCTCAACAACCATCTGAGGAAGGTACTATTTAGACCCTGTTTTACAACCAAGAAAACTAGGGCATGAAGAGGTTGAATAACTTTCCCAAGTCACACTGCTTCTAGGTGGCAAACTCGGGTCTGTCTAATCTAGACCTGAGCTCTTAACCTGCACTGATCCTGCTAGTGGGGAGACTCAATGACATATGTACAAAATCACTGACCTAAACTATAAACTATAAAAGGCACTTATCTGGGTCTTAAATATGAGGAATATTTTAGAGGCAGGGGAGAGGGAAGCATTTTTATAAAGGACATAATGTAAGAGCAGAAAGGGCCAGAAATAGGTTAGAGTATAATGTGGGCAGGAGATCAAACAGGAGCCTTCCACATGGCAGGCGTGCATGCTCTGACTAGAAAGCATTCCTATAACTTGGTTGCTTCTTGTTTGTTTTTTTAAAAACAAGGATGTCTTTTTTTTTTTTTTTAAACCGTGCCGGGTCTTAGCTGCAGCATGTGAGATCTAGAGCCCCTGGCCAGGCCCCTGCATTGGAAGCATGGAGTCTTAACCACTGGACCACCAGGGAAGTTGAGGTTACTTTTTAAAACAGGACTAATGCCACTGCTCTCCCTCCCTCTTCAATTACATCACCGCCAGCAGCAGTAGCAGCATCAGCACGCTTACTCTGTGCCAGGAACTACAGCAAGGGCTTCACATGCATGTATTATTTAATGAAATCCTTATAATAATCCCCTGGGATATGAACTGTTAGCTCATGAGGATGCTGATGCTTAACAAAGTGAGGCAATTTAGCCAAGAACAGTGAACAGAGCCAGAATTTGATCATGGGCAGTGTGGCTGTGACAGTAGAGACTGTGGTCCAACTTCCTAACATTCATCCTACCCTGCCCTCCTACGAAGATCCCTGGTGATCTGGGTGGGGTTGACACCTCCCTAACCTCTAGAGTTGGACCAATCAGCCCTACATATCCCCATCAGTATCTGGATGAAGAGTGGGCTCATGACACATGTTGGGCCAACCAGGGCAAAGCCTAGGACTTTGGTTTGACGGTCGAGTGTGGACAAGTTCTTTCCTGTTTTGAACTAGCATGATGTGTGGATGTGAAGCCTTGAACCGTTGCAGCCACTGTGTTACCTTGTGAATGAAGTTACCCCTGGAGGATGCAGAGCTGAGAGAATCATAGAGAAATGGACTTATTTGTGAAGACATTAAGAATCTCTGGATTAGACCAGAGATCAAATTGCCAATATCCACTGGATTATTGAAAAAGCAAGAGAGTTCCATAAAAACATCTATTTCTGCTTTATTGACTACGCCAAAGCCTTCGACTGTGTGAATCACAATAAACTGTGGAAAATTCTGAAAGAGATGGGAATACCAGACCACCTGATCTGCCTCTTGAGAAACCTGTATGCAGGTCAGGAAGCAACAGTTAGAATTGGACATGGAACAACAGACCGGCTCCAAATAGGAAAAGGAGTACGTCAAGGCTGTATATTGTTACCCTGCTTATTTAACTTATATGCAGAGTACATCATGAGAAACGCTGGGCTGGAAGATGCACAAGCTGGAATCAAGATTGCAGGGAGAAATATCAATAACCTCAGATATGCAGAAGACACCATCCTTATGGCAGAAAGTGAACAGGAACTAAAAAGCCTCTTGATGAAAGTGAAAGAGGAGAGTGAAAAAGTTGGCTTAAAGCCTAACATTCAGAAAACTAAGATCATGGCATCTGGTCCCATCACCTCATGGGAAATAGATGGAGAGACAGTGGAAACAGTGTCAGACTTTATTTTTTGGGGCTCCAAAATCACTGCAGATGGTGACTACAGCCATGAAATTAAAAGACGCTTACTCCCTGGAAGGAAAGTTATGACCAACCTAGATAGCATATTAAAAAGCAGAGACATTACTTTGCCAACAAAGGTCCATCTGGTCAAGATTATGGTTTTTCCAATGGTCATGTATGGATGTGAGAGTTGGACTGTGAAGGAAGCTGAGCACTGAAAATTTGATGCTTTTGAACTATGGTATTGGAGAAGACTCTTGAGAGTCCCTTGGACTGCAAGGAGATCCAACAAGTGCATCCTGAAGGAGATAAGTCCTGGGTGTTCATTGGAAGGACTGATGCTGAAGCTGAAACTTCAATACTTTGGCCACCTGATGTGAAAAGCTGATTCATTGGAAAAGATTCTGATGCTGGGAAAGATTTGAGGGCAGGAGGAGAAGGGGGTGACAGAGGATGAGATGGCTGGATGGCATCACCGACTCGATGGGCATGAGTTTGAGTAAACTCTGGGAGTTTGTGATGGACAGGGAGGCCTGGCATGCTGCGATTCATGGGGTCGCAAAGAGTCGGACATGACTGAGCGACTGAACTGAACTGAACTAAAACTTGGGTCACTCCTAGACCGTCTGGTTACAGGAGCCAATAAATCCCTTTTTATTGTTTAAACCAACTGGGTTTAGATTTCTCCTGCTTGAACCAAAAGCAACTAAAGTGACCCACTGAGTCCTGGGCCACATTTTCAGTCATTGCGTTATTCTGCTTTCTTTAAGACACTCTGGGATGGATTAGGTAGTTCGAGTCAAAAGATGCCTGGGCAAGAGACCTCAGGGATCACTTCTCCCCAGTCAGCCCTGCACCACCACCTCAACTCAGCTCAGGACAGAACTGCGCTTTACTGATGAAGAGATCAAGGTCCCAAGAGGTTAAGTGAAATGCTCAAGGTCACCAGAATTATTATTACACTTAGATCTCCTCATTTCCAACTTCCAGTTGTCTGGCCTAATGGAAAACTCCAGACAAGCAATAATCTTAATGCCATTCTACTCAACTTTGTAAGACAATAAGTGGTATTCTTTCTACTACAGACTTGCTTCATCTTGTTTCTCTGAAGCAAATTTAAAAACTGAATTCTTTTTAAAAAGAATCTAAGCTCCTGATGTAGTCAGTGGACTATTTAGCCAAAGGGAAGTTGAACATGTGCTGCTTAGTCGCAGACCCTGACCTTTTCCACTTGAGGGCAAATGCACAGAGGACCCACAGGGAGGGGAGGAGGCATAGGACAGGTCTCCCACAAGACAATGAAGCAGCTGACAGGTCACCCACAAGACAATGAAGCAGCTGAAGTTTTGTTAATATTTGCTGATTGAGTGAAAAGGAGAAACAATAGGATTTGGGCAACTAAGTGGATTTGGGGAGTTATGCAAGGAGGGAGAGCCAAAGATGAGTCAGGTTTCAGGACTGGGTGACCAGAATGATAAGAGCTGATAGGAAGAGATGCTAGTCTTAATCCAAAAACAGAACACTGCATGAGGTAGGAATCAGGACAAGGACACTTGAAAATGCCGATAACAGAAGGGGAGCAGAATTCTCTGGTAATCCTGGCAAGTTTCTGGGAAGGACATCAACTAAATTGAATTTGGAAAGAAATAAAAATTAAAGAAGCTAACAGGACAGAGTAAGGATAACATGAAAATGGTGCCTGGCTCATATTGACTGATGCTCAAGTAGAACGGGGAGATGGGAAATCCAATCTAACCTGCAAATTTTTGTCTAAGAAACATTCACACAGAGCATGCAGTGTCATATCTAATAAATGTCAAGGAGTTCTCCAAGGAAATCAGTCCACATGTCTCTACTTATTTTGGCTCACCTTATCTAAACAATTTGGGGTGATGGCTACCTAAAAGCCTCTTTACCCATCTAAACCTGCCCCGCCCATCAAAGCCTAGTGGAATCTCTGGTACTCTGTGAGGCTTCCCAAGTACTTCCAATCTTCCTTCCTCTCAACTCGAGTATGTCTGCATCACTTACTTGATAACCAATCACAAGCTGCCTCAGGACAGCTCTTGAATTAGTTCCTACTCTAGCAGTGGAAACAGTGACCGATTTTATTTTCTTGGGCTCCAAAACCACTTCAGATGGTTACTGCAGTCAGGGAATTAAAAGACACTTGCTCCTCAGAAGAAAGCTATGACAACCCTAGATAGCGTATTAAAAAGCAGAGGCATCACTTTGCCAACAAAGGTCCATATAGTCAAAGCTATGGTTTTTCTGGTAGTCATGTACAGATGTGCGAGTTGGACCATAAAAAAAGGCTGAGCACCAAAGAATTGATGCTTTCAAATTGTAGAGCTGGAGAAGACTCTTGAGAGTCCCTTGGACTGCAAGGAGATCAAACTAGTCAATCCTAAAGGAAATCCACCCTGAATATCTATTGGAAGGACTGATGCTGAAGCTCCAATACTTTGGCCACCTGATGTGAAAAGCTGATTCACTGGAAAAGACTCTGATGCTGGGAAAGATTTGAGGGCAGGAGGAGAAGGGGGTGACAGAGGATGAGATGGTTGGATGGC